CTGTGTGTGTTCTAGCAGCGGGCAGCAGCCTGCACGTTTGTGGAACACGCAGTAAGATAATCCAATCTGAACTGGAGCTGGCAGCTGAAGTTTCTCATGGTCCTGCCTGCCTGGCAGGACTAGTGAAAACTACAAAAACCTAGAACCTCAAACATCCTGGCCTTTGTTATGTGCATCTTCTATATTTTGCATTTTTCTAAAAATAGTTAGCCACTTAAGATACTCTGCTAGTTACATAATTTATATTATCACTAATCCTTACAACTCTGCAAGACAAAATATTTCTAAACCTACCTTTACAGATGAGGCAACTAACATAAAAAGTTTGTAATTTTCCCAACCTGGAGCCCCAAAAAGTCACAAGCTTGTAAGAACCTAAGCTGGCATCCAAACCCCTGGTTATTTTCACAGTATCCGATGGTTTCTGCTATGAGTGATAGCCACTGTCATCTCTAAACTAATTTTTCGGACTTCTTGGTCTCCTGAACTATTTATTTATTTTTTTGTGAGGAAGATTAGCCCTGAGCTAACATCCAATGCCAACCCTCCTCTTTTTCCCTAGGAAGACTGGCCCTGGGCTAACATCCGTGCCCATCTTCCTCTACTTTATACGGGACGCCGCCATATCATGGCTTGACAAGTAGCACGTTGGTGCGTGCCCGGGATCCGAACCTGAGAATCCTGGGCCTCCGCAGCTGAGTGCGCACACTTAACTGCTGTGCCACTGGGCCGGCGCCCTGAGTTATTTTTTTTAAAGAGTCACTGATTACTTGTAGGTTCTTTTTCTTTCTTTTTTTTTTTTTTATTAACTTCTGTATGTGTCAATCACAATAGCTGGTGCATGCAAAAAGAGTTTTTAGAATGGGTGCTTGGAAGGGGCAATATGAAGGTAAATGGAAAGAAAAACTTGGCACACCTAGAATTACATTTCAGGTTCTAGTCCTCTATGCCTGCAACCCGAGGGGAATCTACGCAGAACTTCCTCTTCCTGACGTGTCCTCCCCCTTCCCTCCATGTCTCCCTGGTCAGTTTAAATCCTGGCTCCTCCCTGAGGCCTCCTCCACAGGCCTCACCTCATATAAAAATCTTCTTTTTCACATTCTGATAACATTTACAGTCCTAATCGGATTACTTATTTGATCACTTAATCAGAGTTGGCCTTGCATTTTTATTTAAATGTGTCCTGAGCTTCTGTTTTCCATTGTTTTCACTATAGAGGGCACAGTGCTCAAGGGCACACTTCTTTTTATCCCTTTTGTAGCAAGGTGGTGATACGCACATGGAAGTTGCTCAGTAATATTTGATCAGTTAATAAACAGGTGAAAAATAAGTGAATTTGGAATAATTCAGAGAGTAAGTAGATTAGGATAGTATAAATGACATTTTTTTAAAGTACTTTAAGGTTTATAAAATGCTTCTCATGCAGTCTCATTTGTACCTTAGAATAACCCGTAGAGGAAACTGGCTCTGAGAGGTTAAGAGATTTGCTCTTAAAACCCAGATCCTCTCCTCCAAAGCTTGTATTATTTCCATTACAGTTGACTCTCAAGTACAAATCAAGACTAAATCTGGAGGTGGCCCCCTCCATAAAACATCCTCACCAGCAGAGGGCGCAAGAACATGTATGGGTCTTGGAGTAAGACCCATACCCGCCCAGCCACTTTAAGAGCTAGGTGACCTTGGGCTAATTATTTAATTTTTCTGAGCCTCATCTGCTAAATATTGATGACAATGCCCCTCCACCTTTGCAGGGTGGTCTTAAGGATTAGAAATATTTTTGTGGCTGGCACACAGTAGGTAAACGATTAATCCTTATCTCCCATGATCTCCATAAGAGGATCACGGGAGCAGTTTGGAGGTTAAATAGACATTGATTCTCGTTTGGTGCTTTAATAAACATTTGAAATTAGTTTGCATACTTGATACTTAAGACAGGCAAAGAGTTGCATCAAATGGGCAAAGAAATGAATATTGATGAAAAAATTTCAATACTCAGTGCCAGCAGGAGTGTGAGGAAGCAGATTGGAACAACTTTTCTGGATGAAGAGCCTTAAAAACATGACAGGCCATTTGCCCCAGCATCTATTTAACATAAGAAAATAATATTGTATGGTAGCAAGATTTAGAAAGACAAAGGATGTCATCACCACTCTTTACAAGAGAAAAAGTGTTCAATGTAGGGTACAGGTCTAATAATTATAGTCTCTCCATTAAACTGGACACTACGCAGTCATTAAAACGATGCTACAGAAGAATATTCTAAATGGAAAGATGACTGCAACACAGCAAGCAAAAACTACAAGACACAGCCCGATTTCATTTTTGTTTAAAAATACACACAGGACAGAAATCAAAATTTTAAGTTATTTCCATAGGAGATGAGATTGTTAGTGATGCTTTTTTTTTTTCTACTTCTCTTTGCTTATCTTACTCTCTAAATGTTCTACAATTAACACATCACTTTTGTGATAAAAAAAAGTTTTCATTTTACGTGTGCCGAGTCGGTGTCTTTCATTTAACACTGCCTGACAGCACAACCAGGCCAGTGGTCAGGTGAATTAAGTTAATTGTAATAAAGCAGCTTGGAAGTTTCAAGGTAGTTAGTTAAAGTAATGAAATTTCAGAGCTGGTCACCAAACTTGGACTTAACTGCTGTAAAGCTGCTTTACATAGACACCAGGCTCCACTTTCTCAAAAGGCCTAAAAATGGCATAAAAGAAAAAGTGAACAACAATTGTTCATGTAAAGCGCCACGAGCCACGTTTGTCCTAAGCAAACGTAACCTGAAACTCCCCCATACCTCCCCCTCCAGGCTGGCGCACGGCTCTGGACAGGCTGTATTTGCTCTACAGTACTCAACTTACTTTCCTGAACTTGAAATGGAGTGGAATTTCATTGTAGAGTTACCCATTAGCTCCAGGGCTAAATTTAAACCTTTAATTAAATTAATCCGTTGATCTTAAACACATTGCTTCTCCCTCAGAAAAGTGTGGAGAATTTTCTTAGATATCGCAGAGCTTAATTCAGTGTAACGATTGTTCCTTATTGCATTTGGTAAGTCATCCAAACCGCGTAGGGAAACCCACACCCGTTTTCAGATTGCTCCTGATGCCCCCACCCCCAACCACCAAGACAGGCATTTGTCGGGGTGGGGCTGGGATACAGCATTCTGTGACTCCTCCCAGACCCGGAGCTGCCCCTCTGGAAGAGTCACCGCGTCCTCGGGCAGGAACCCATCGTTATGGTGGGTTCCAAACAGATGTTTATGAAAGAAACGACAGAAAGTAACTGTCTATATTGTTCCCAGTTTATATGGGAGAAAAAGAGATCATGATCCACAAAAATTTGCAAGGTGACAAGGGGAAAAGGTGTGAGGCCATTTTAGCCTACCTCGGTCTTCATAGAAAACGGAGCACATTTCATGGCCAAAGTAAAAATGTGTTGATGAAAGAGATGAAAGAGATGAAAAGTGACAGCAACATCAAATGAGGATATGTAAATGAGTGGCCACACGAAGATGTTCACCCGCCTGGGCTCTTATGCATCCCCGGGCGTTCATTTTTCTCAGGGGCTGCATCCTCGGCCTGCGAAGGCGTGAGACACAACCTCACTGGTTAGCGACACCTTTAAGGGGGGACTGCCCACACAAGGGGTTGTGGACCTACCTGTGTAACTATTAATTAGGACCTATTTCTCCGGACTCAACGGTAGCGCGAGTCCAGTTAACTAGCTCGCGGGCCGAATCTCTGCGTCGCTCCGAGTAACTGTCCTGCAGACTCACCACTCTCCCGGGACCACACCCTCACGCCGTGACTCACGGGGTTCATTTCGCACCCCCAATTCCAGTCCGAACGCGGCGGGGAAACGTGCTCGCCTCCCTCCTCTGGCTCCCGCGCGCTCCCCGGGAGCCACCAACTCTGCCCGCAGGAAGCTCGGACTACCTACACCGCCCGGCCGAGCCCCCGCCCCGCCGCGCGCCCGGCTTTCCCTTCGTCCTCCTCTTCCTCCTTCCCCGGCCCCTCGCCTCCCGCCGCGTGCCTCCGCGGCCGCCGCCTGCGGCTTTGTTTTCCTCCCAGGTTTCATTCCCCACACGTGATACTGTGTTATTGCAAAGAGCGCTTCGGGGCGCGAGCGCGGGGCGCGCGCACCTATAAATACGGACGCCCGGGCCCAGGAGGGGAGACCGCGGGGGCGGGGAGGGCCGGGC